GCCCCTGTAACTACAGAAGCTTCTACACAGGTAGCTACTACCAACCTATACTTTCTATCTTTCTAGCTTCTACACAGCTGCACCCCAGCGCTCTGACTCTTCTGGCTCCTGTCAAGCCCCTGCCCTTGGCACAAAAGCAGTCACTGGCTCAGTAGGGGAAGGAACAACAATTCCTTTGTTGCAACAATTCCTCTGTGTGCAGTGCCCATAACATGGGAAAGCTATGTGTAAATGTAGGGAGAATCAAAAGTACAGGAGGAATGGGAAAGAGGGCCAAGTGAGGGTTTCCTAGCAGGCATTGAGTATCTCAGGGAAAATCTAGTTTTCTCTTTATTCCATGGTGGTAGGGTGTGGTAAGGAAGAATTTTCAATAAATTAGCCTATACTATAATTGACATCTCTTTATAAGTGAAAGAATCACATTTCAATAAAAAGATCATAAGCTTCACAGTTTCTTAATGTAATTGTTACCACCTGGGAAGCTATTAAATATATATGGACCTCCATGCCTACTCTTTCGGAGTCTGAGACAATTTTCTGGAATCCATATGAGGCCATGGCTGGAGCATTGGTATTTTTAAGTTCTCAGGTCAATTACTGGCAGATAAAGTTTGAGAATAATCAGTATAGATGTTCATCACTTTCTTCTTTAAAATCACCTACAATTGTTGTTAATCCATGTGTGACTTGTTAAAGAAAATTTAGAGAAGCAATCTATAAGTTTGCCAATTCGACTAAAATGCGTCCACTTGATAGATGTCTATTACCCTAATCTGACCATTACACATTGTATACAGACAGAACAATTTATGATTCACTGTTTTGAAAATGTACTCTTTAGAAATTTACACTTAAAATAGTCTACTCATATTCATTTAAAAAGTATTTTAACTTATTCAGTGACTCCCCTCCTGCTAATACTAAGAAACAGGTCAATAAAAACCTCTGACTGGTAGTCCCTCAGATATTAAATACATCCCATAGGAAATAGTAACAAAAATAAGTGATCAATCCATTGGAAGTTAAGCAAGATATTTGTCATGAGCAGGATCATTTTCTGTAGTTTACAGGTGATCATTTTTTGCTTGTACAAATGGCAGTAAATGTTAATGTGATTTGCACATACAGTGAACTCTGTGATTGTGGAAAATCAAACCAAACCAGTCATTGAAGTTTCCCACATTCTCAACTGTAATCAATTTGATGATCCTATTTTGGGGTTTACATGCACTAAAAATGATTTTTTTCTCAAATTTGGAATAGTTTTGCCAAACTAATATTTCTAATTTACTGCTGCTAAATAAACTAGCTCATACATTAACAGTGGAGTCATACATACTTGAATGCTAATACCAAGTTGCATTATATACAAGAAATGAATATCTTCTGCAGCAGTTGTTTTGGTCAGTGACAGTGAAATGATGATGATGATGATGATGATGATGATGATGCTAAATATGAATAAGTGATCATTCATTTCTGTGGGATAATTCCAAGAAATCAACCACCAATGATTCAATGACTGCTTTCTCATCACCATAATTCTTGAAGTTAAATAAAAATAAAAGCAACAATCCCCTTCTCTTTCTTCCACCCTCCGCCTCACTAAAGTCTTCTTCCATACACAGTACAGCATGATGTTCAGACAGATTCTGCTAGTCCTTAGAAGATGAAATCCATTTATTTTGCTTGCAGGAGCATAGCACAGAGTGAGCTGATAGTTACTCTTTCGATTCAGTTTATTTGGAAGAACATTAGTGGAAAACTTCTATTTCAATTTCTAGTTATTTGTTTTACATTCACGAACATGGAGAAGATTTTGTTTCTACTCAGGAGATGATTCTGTTCCTATTAGGGAATGGCATGTGTTTAGGAATAAGGTAATAACAAATTAGACACAGATTTTCATTGCACTACCCAAGGGTGCCTTCTTTATCTTGCATGAATTGTTATGAACATTGTGTTCAGACATACAACAATGCTACTACCAACCTATACTTTCTATCCAGAAATAAATTATTTCTGGAGTACATACTTGTTTTGATCAGTGATAATTACGATGATGATGATCTTACTGATCTGTCAAAAACTGATCATTTTCTTGTGGGTTAAGTTATACCAAGAAATCAAGCACAAGTTTTTAAAGGACTACTTTCTCACCATGTGTAACTATTTTCTATCAATTTGTTTAGTGACAGGAGTAAGAGAACACCATATGACTGAGATTTGTTCTTCTAAGATTGGTTTAATGCAAAGTCAAGCTCCTGACAAAAGTCTTAAAATTATAAGGCAATTAGAAATCTAGCAAATGTTCAGTATTCTGGAATGACTGTGTAGGACAAAGTTTTAGGATAGAAAGTTAAATGGCATCTGTGATGTTAATTTGTGAACACAAACCATGGGGAATGTTACTTTGTAACACTATGAACCCATCTGACCGTCTTCACAATAGCCAGGAAGTTGATCACTATGAATGCCTTTATTAAGCATAAATTACTTGTGGCAAAGAGGATTCAGATGTCAAAAGATAAACAGCTCAGTGGGAAAGTGGGCGGGGGGAGGATGGAAGATGAGTTTGAAATGTGAGTGGCAGAAACACTACTAGCAGGATTGAGAACTTGAGGAAAGGGCATAAAGGCAGGTTCTGGAAGGTCTCAAAAACCAGGAAGAATACATTGGAACTGGTGCTGGAAAGCAATAGACGAGTTTTTGTTGTAATAAAGATTATCTGATAATCAGCAGAGGATACAGAAATATTTATTGTGTAACTACAACCTCATAACACTGCTGATTACAAAAGGAACTGTAAGAAAATATAAGATTTCAACCCCAAATTATAGCTTTTTCTGTTTCTTTCAGTTCTATCTGAAATATAATTGCAGTCAACCCTCCATACCTGCATGAGTCGTATCCACAGATTCAACCAACAGAACAAAAAAATAGGGAAAAAATTGAATCTGTATTGAACATGTACAAACTTTATACTATTGTCTGTATTCCCTAATTAATTCAGTATAACAACTATAAATATTTACATTATGTTCAGCATTTATATTATATTAGGTATTATAAGTCATCTAGAAATAACTGAGAGACTATGGGGAGATGTGTGTAGGTTATATGCATGTAGCAGAGTATTTTATGCTTGAGGTTTGAGCATTCACAGATGTTGGTTTCTGCAGGGCATCCTGCAGCTGATTCTCAGTGGATGGGGAGGGTGAGTGTGTATTGTGCATGTGGTAGACATTTTCTTTGCCATGACCCAAGAGAGTGATTTTAGGGGAAAATAGAGGGATGAAAATACAAAAGAATAAGAAAGAAAACACAGCAGGGTAAAATAGAAGTTGTGTGTTGCTGGGTTAACAAGGGCAGAAAACAATGAATGGGGAGAGATGAAGCTGGAAAAGCTGGAAGGTTGCCAGGGATCATTCTTGCCCTGCCTTGTAAAGACCTTGGGCTTTATCCTGGGCAGTAAGAGTCTTCCTGAAAGCTCAGATGTGGGGAATAGTGGAGTCCCGGTTTTGTTTTTGCTATATCACTCTAGTATGTGGTATACATACTAGAGTGATATAGCAAAACCAATACTATACATATATATAGTATTAATTTTCTGGGTTCTGATCATTACTAGGTTGTGAAATCAATTTGATAGGTTGTGACTAACATATTTAAGTGAAATCATGGAATGGAATGGATAGACTACAATACAATAAAAATATCAGAGTTCATTTAGCATTTGAAGACAAGTTTTACTTTGAAAATTTTGTTTCTATAATATATGTAGTTATATCTATCTATAAGTAAGAATATAGATGGGAAGAAAGATGGGTGGAGAGGATACAAAAAAGAGGCAAGGAAAGAAGACAAAAAAGAAAAGGGGAAGGAAGGAAGGAAGGAAGGAAAGAAGGAAGGAAGGAAGGAAATGGGAAAGAAAAGGAGAAAAATGAAAAGGAATTGTGTCTGCTGTGCACGTGTGTGGGAGAGGGGGATATGGTGGTGGTGTAAAATATATATCTTGCTATGGATCTTGATCATCAATGTTTAAAAGCCACTGATACAGATATGTATTTGAGAGGGAAAAGACTAGAAGCTATTAGAAGGTTGTGTCTGAGCTAATCCAGGATAGGATAAGAGGGTATCTGGGGATGAGGCGAGGGAAGAGGAGGAGGAGGGGAAGCAAAAGTAAGAAGGATCAAGATGATACATAGAACAATTTTGTATGTTTTCCACAATGAATATATATTTGTCATGTATGAATATAGTCATATATAGTAATATACTAATAAAATACAATGGTATTTAATTCACAAACTTAATTCACTCCACAACTCTGGGGAAAATGGCCATGTTCGTGTTTGTGCAAAGAAGATGACCATGGTTGTGTTTATCACTTGATGTAGAATTCACAAACAAAAACAAAATTTTCCAAATGCTTCTGTTTGGTAACCAAATTGTTGGCCATCAAAAGTGTTCATCAAGCAAGGTACCACTGTATGTATATGCTAACAAAATATACTAATAAGTATACTAATATACTAACAAAAAAGAAAAAAGGGTTTATTCACAGCTGTGTATCTGTACTCACTGAGGATGATGTTGAATCAGAAAAAGAGGAATCTTAATCCAGGTGTCAAGCTTCAGTAACTACAAGGAAATAATCAGGAGTTTGCGAGATGACTATATTCAACAGGGTACAATATCTGGATGATACAGTGTTTTCAGTATTTTGTGTGCTAAAGAACAGCAAAGAAAGGAACTTCTGTGTGACAGAAAGAGAGTTCTTTTGAACACTTCCCTAACTGAAGGGAAGAGGGTAAAGAAGATATTCAACCTTTGGTAAAGGACATGGAGCGATTGGTTTACAATAGACTATGCACAAGAGAACAATAGAGAGTAAAATTAGAATGAGCTTGTTGGTGTGTCTTATTTACAGAGGGGATGAAACATGCTCTGAGGCAGAATGTATTCACTTCCTCCTCCTATTGCTGTTCTAGCTGGGTGGAAGTTGGTGGGATCTTGTGCTAAAACAGTCTTCTGAGAAAGTGCACCAAACCCTTGTCTAAAGAGAAAGAAAAAGCACAGTGTGAGGATAATTTTCTTCTCTTCAGTACTTGTACCTTGCCCATACCCTTTTTTCCCATGTATGTACGGTATTAATAGAAAACAGTATGGGTTATTAGAATTATGCAAACTGCTGTAATGACAGATTGCTTTTATAATATACCTTTAAAGCTAGTTAGCACAGTTGTTTGTGTATTTTGACACATTCATTTATATTTATTGGATTTTTCTCTTGTTTTTGATATTTGAAATATTACTGAATAAGTGTTTAGGACTACTTAGGAAAAAACATACCAATACATACAGTAGTAAGCACATATTTTAAATAAAAGAATCATTTTATTCAGCTAGAGTTTTTAAAATTTAATTTAAAATATTGATAAATAAGAAGCCTGGGTGGTTTCATTAACATACTCCACTGTGTGTATGCATGCGCATGCCATTCGTGTGCTCTCCCCTTTTAGTACTCTCCAGCGCAGATTTTCCTAGGACGCTGGCTTTGAGATGACCACTGTTGGAATGTAAAATTTTAAACACATGATAAAAACTTTTAAACACAAAGCAAAATGATGAAAAATGTAAACTAAGGAAACAATATTTGTACTTGCTGATGTCTTCCTAAATTGTGAAGGTTGAAAGATGATAATTTTACACAAGTTGATTATTTTTTGTTTTAATCATTTTATAACCTTGAAACTGCATTCAGACCTATATACAAGTTAGTTTTATATGAGCTCAAAGTAGCTCCGCTTCAATACTAAACTCAAATTCAGAATCAACTGACTTTCTAATCACTTACACGTATTACAGCAACGGCAGTCAAGTAGCCACTTAAGCAAAAGCAGTATCTAAAGCACTGTGCTCGCTAACAGCCTGAGCATATGTCACTCAGGAAACCTCAGTTGACATGAAGGGACTTACTGAGCGTTGTTGGCTCCCATAGGCCGCTGTCCTCACAGATACCTTCAAATTGAGTTATTGTGTATTTCTTTCAGCTTTAGTGTCATGAACTCTGAGGGTGGATTCTAAAACAGGTCCTGGACTGCTGTTAGTGGACTGATTAATTTAGGCACAGTTCTGCTAAGACAGAGGATTCAGATAACAGGATTTTACATGAGCAGATGTCCATTTAGGAATCGCAGGCCTGTTGTCGCTGCCATTTGTTAATTTAGGCTGTCAGAGGAGGAATATGAAAAAATGAAAATGAATCCCAAAAGTCTTGGCTGAAGCTGGAGGTGCCAGTGTAGGTACTGGTGATAGATTTGCGACTTCTAGGTAAGTGCATACTGATTGATGATAGCAGCAAGCACTGTGGGACTCGGGCGAGTCATCACACCGTGAACCCACGCAACGCATGCCTGTCCCAGGGAGGAGGGCTGCTGTGTTTCTCTCGGCTTTCATTTTATATTTTGAAATCTCTCACTTTTTTCTTGAATAGACAACATATTTAAGTAATTCTTTGGACTCCTATCCTTCAGCTAATTTCCTTCAATGTGGTCAACTATCTTTTACCTTTTAATAAATCAAATCAATGTGGTAATATGCAATACTACCCCACTGTGGTAGTATGCATTGATTTTTTTCTTGCTTAAAAATAAGTCTTAGAGGCTATTCTATATCAACACATAACATATTCCATTTTTGTGATTTTTTTATGATTGCTTTATATTCCTTGATAGTAAAGATGTATATTCCCCACTGATAAATATTTTGGTTCTTTTCAGCATTCTGCTTTTAGAGACAGTGTTGTAGTAAATAGGCTTGCATACTATTTTGCACGAATGCACACCTATCTGCAGGATCCATTGCTTGAACTAGAATCCAACAGTATATGATTTGAAATCTTAACAAATAGAGACAAATTACACTCCCATTATCTATGCATAAGCAAGCATATTTTTCTTTATGCTCAGCATAGCATGTTACCAAAATTTAGAACTTTTCCATCATAAGAAATTTTAAAAATCAAAGTATAAGACAAATTTGTATTTCTCTTATTATGAGTTGAACACCTTTAGCTGTTTGAATCATTTTCATTTGCTTCTCTGCATACTTTCATTTCTAAATCTATTACTAAACCCCGATTGTCTAAGGGGCTCTTCACATCTCTCATAGGAAGGCAGTGATTTTAAGTTCAAAAGAAGTTTGAAAAGTCCCTCTTGGGAAAATACATTTTCTACATATAATTCTGGTAATTCTCAATAAAGCAGAAGAAAACAACTTCCCTCTTTTAATTTGTGTTCAGTTATAAACTTGCATTAGAACCCAATTACCTTCTTAGAAGAGGCAGTGCTGACCTGAGAGCTCATTTCTTACAGTATGAGGTAACTGTCTCTGAAATGAAGTACACACTCATATTTTCAAGAAATGGGATAGTAGTTAAGCAATAACATTTATAAAAAATATTCTTAGTCTATAAAAATCAGAATGCTCTTTATTAGTAGTGAAGTTCTGGTATAAAAGTATTATTTCTCTTATACTGAGAAATTATAAAATCTACAAGGGCTACTTGGCAATTTGGGAATTGTTTATTGCTTGAGATTGTAACATTTTAGATTTTGATGTTCTTTCCAATGCATCAAATTTAGTGTTGTCTTTTCCCTTAGAGAAATTCTTCAAGGAAAAATAAATATAGGAGAAGGTAATACCCAGATAAAGTTAGGCTTTTCCTGGAATGTTCATCTAATAATACATTTTTATGAGTAGCACGTGGTTTACTACAATTAGTTCTACTAATTGTGAGTGATTTGTCCTTGTTAAACTTTGTTGAAATCAGGACATTTTAATTTATCTCTGGTATAAGCCATTGATTTCAAATACAAACTCAATTCCTCCTTCTACATATTTTCTCTAGAAGAAAGGATATAAAGATATCAATAATGGCTCAGTCAAAGATGATACCCAGCTTGGAAGTGTTTCCTCTTAGTGAAAATGATTAATAAAACTAATATTTTTCTTCCATAGTCAGGAGATCAGTATTGCACTCTGAGTATGAATTGCTTCCAGTAATATTATAAAAAGAAAAAAGATATAGGTAGGTGACAGACACACTATGGAGATTTTAAAATTATTTTTATTTATTCTTCATCTCTAAAAGCTAAGAAAGAAGAGAACACTTTCTTCACTTTCATACCTAGCAAAAAATAATTTTCTATTATTGACCTGAAATCACTTCTATCCACATAGATACGAGTCTAACTCTGTTTTGCTTTACTGTTTGTATGCTGAAGTCAGCATTCATTAGGTGAACAATGTGTGTCATCTCTTTAATTCTTACAACAACCAAAAGAAAGAACAGCATGATTATCTGACCCTTTTAATAGAGGAGGAAACTGAGATTCTGGAAAGTTGAATAGTTTTCAGAAATATTTGATCAACCTACTAGCAAGTAACAGGACTACACCTTAAACTTAAGCCTACTGGTTCCAAAAACAGTTTCTTTAAGCAGTGTGCAAGGCTGCTCACTTAACAGTGAATCACTTTTCCAGATATAATCTTACATAGAACCATGGGTTATATTAAAACTACTTAACATCGCCAAACTGAAAAATCCTGAAAAAGACACGTATCAATATGAACGTACATTAGAACCAGTTGCTGAATGTGAGCTGAATGCATTGAGGAAGAGGCAGTGGAACTGTTCTGAGGCTAAAGTGGACAGCCCATTATCACCCTTTTAAGAGAAGCTGCCCATTACACCTTTCTAAGAGAAGCTCCTACCATCCCTTCCCCCTTTATACACTGACCCCATAAAAAGCGAGGTTTAACAGTAAAAGATAAAAACCATTCATAAAGCCTCAAATTATTTGCACTAACCCATGATCTAAGAGCTAACATAGCTCATACTCCTACTCTTTATGAATAGCTAGAAATAAAAATATAAGTAAATCTAAGACTGTTTAAAATATCTTTTGACTCAACTTTATTCTACTTCTCCTACTATCATTTCATAGGGAAACTTCTTGAACATTATAGTGTGCCCCTGCTGGGAAATATATGTCTGTCCTTTATGATCATTTACTGAATGCTCATAACTATATGCTTAAATTTGCCTGTAGCTCAAAATCATTTTCATTCTTAAAGTATTATATAGACAGTATAATATCCAAAAGGGTATTTGGCTTTAAGCATTTATGATTCATTTATTTAAATAGTTACTAAGCAAACCACCCATTGAGAAGATGACCCTTAGATGTTGTTCTTAAGGTAAGAAAATCAGGGTACATCAAGTACAGAGGATGAGCACTGGACATGTCTAACAGTTATGTAGACTCATGTTTGGGCCCCAATTCTCAGTGATTGAGCCAAGCAGTGTATAAATCCTTTTTCAGAAAGTACTTGTGGTTGCTTATTATATAATGTGAACAGAACTAAAATAAGAGTCCAAAGAACATGAGTTAAAAGGAATTGAATAAGGAAGGGACAGAGTAGGACAGGAAAGAGAGAGGAAAGTAAAACAGAACATCTCTTCTGGCCCCATGGTACTCCAAATGCACACAAAGTACTATTCTGTGCTTGCTAAGAGCTAAAGTAAAGGAGAAATGGAATTTATTTAGATCTCTTCCATTTACTAATTTGAACAAATACTACAGTAATCAAGGAGAAGAGATAACCTTTCTATTGCTACTGAACTATGAAGGAATTTTGTTATATAGGAATTTTATAAGTGGTACTGTCTGTATTTTTGAGGTTGTCAATCTGAGGACATAAAGATCGTTTTAAGTGCAGTTATATACAAAAGCAGTGGCTCCATGTTTGTCCTAAATACATGATGTTTGCAAGTTAGGTGTTTACATGATGAGTATAATTTTAATTATTACAGTATCATTTTATACAAAATAATCTCTTAGATATTTTTATTTACCAATTCAGCATCATTCAAAAACTTTTCACGGTGTATCTGTCCTGTGTCAGGCACTGTAACAGACTTTGTAATTGACTTCTGTAACAGAGCAGTCATGTTACATGGGCAATGTAGTTCAGAAATAATGCAATAAAATGTAATGTGTGTTTCTACAAAGGAAAAACAAAGTGCTATATCAGTAAATGACATTCCACAGAGTCTATAGTGGTGTTTCCCATTTTCTTAATTCCATGATTTCGTGAATTAGCAAAAAAAAAAAAAAAAAAAAAAAAAAAGTTAAATGGAGACCAATACAGCTGCCTGACATTTTGTTAGCAAAAAAAAAGGCACTTGAAAAGGAAAAAGGGACTGCTGTACTACCTTCTAACAACTTTATTCCATTTACAGCCACATTAGGTTAAATTTAAGATGCAAAAAGAGCACAGGCTTGAAATGAGGGGCAGAATTTTACCTAAAAGGTAACCATCAATTTTAACCTGATACACACACACACACACACACACACACACCATAATATAGAAATACTTCAACAAAAGGAGAATGTTTGAAAGAGAGGTCCAGAACTCTCCTCAGAAAAGATCAGAACATTTATGCTGAAAGTATGAGCATAAAATAAGCAATGACACAAAAAAATAACCTTCCCCACCCAAAATATTTAGCACTTTCCTCCCATATTAGTTTTGTATGATGATTATAGCAAAGTACACAAATCTAGTAGTTTAACAAACATAATTTACTATGTTTCAGTACACAATGGGTCTTACTGACCTAAAATTAAGGTGTCCTCTGGGTCACTCTTTGGTAGATTCTAAGGAGCATTTGTGCAGGTTCCAGGGAATGATCTGGGGCTGGCCTCTCCCTCCTCTAGAGACTGGCTCCATTCCTGGGCTCCGGCCTCTTCTCATCTTCACAGCCAGCAGGGGGGCATCTTCAGAGCATTCCCTGACTTTGACACTCACTCTGTCTCCTCCTTCCACATTCAGAGAACTCACGATTTGCATTAAGATCACTCAGAAATCTTGGATGATCTTCTTATCCTAAATTCAGATAGTTAACAACCTTAATTATATGCAACTTTAATGACCTCTTCTCATGTTGCATAACGCAGTTACAGGTTTTGGGGAACAAAATGTAGATGTCTCTGGGAAGCCATTATTCTACCTATTAAATGCTCTGAGTAATAGAGAACACCTAGGTTAAATGGCTTCCTTCTTAACTGCTGGCTTGCCAAGAGCTGTGAAGGTACGGCGTATTACTTTATTTGCAAGCAAAAAAGGTAGCCAGAGTTTATTGATGGTAGTAGAAGACATGAAACTCCTGGGTCACTGACAAAGAAGCATGAGCATTTGCATATCTGTATCAATTGATGTCATCCCCAAATGTCATGGACATGACACAGACGAGGTGCAGTGCATGCGTGCACACACCCTGGACTGTGCTACCCAGGAGGGGCTGTTCTTTGAAAATCAGTTGGTTTTAAATTAAAAGATATAATTTCCTTATTTCAAGTACCTATTTTTCAATTTTATTGTTTATTCAACTCAACTTCCATTTATTGGTATATTTTAGGCAGAAGAACCTAGGAAAATGTCCTGTTACTTATCTTTGTTACTATCTTATTATTAAGTAATTCCATATAGAAATATGTGATTTTTGGCTAATTTAATCAATAAATAATTAGTGCAAAAGACAGCCTGACCTAAGTTCACTATGTGGAAATGAATATCAGCGAATTGACTAATTAAGGCCTGGATGCAGACACATAAATAGGAAGGAAAACCAGGTGCCAGTATTACCTACTGAGAAGTGGAGATCAGACAAATTCATCTCCACATATTAAATCCAAGTCTATTGAGAGCAAGTACTGACTGCAACAGGTTGAAAGGACACAATCAAATGAACAAATTATTACATTTGACATTAGAAGTACCAACATTGATCAATTTACTAATGGAGTTATGTCCTGGTTACGTATGTTGGTAGCCCTAAAAATGAAGATTACAGAAAAATACTAATCTAATCATAGAAAAGAACTATCAGAAGAAAGAGGAAATACATAAAAAGGAGTATATCCTATCTAGTTTGTGTAGAATTGGTGATAGTCGATGTATATCAATAAGTCTTGTTCTTCTAGCAAAGTTTTCCCCACAAGTGGTGATATATAAGGTGAGCTGTCAATTTCTTCCCATCTGAGTCCTGAGACCAACAGTAAGATGTACTTGCGTAACTAATTTGGAGATAACAATTTACAATGTATTAGTTATTGTTACCCTCCTATTATCTTGTTTTGCAATTCTTTTTTTTTTTCTCTTCAAAATCAGAAAAGATGTCAGGTCAAGGGAAAGATGGCAGTCTTTATTCAAAACAGAGATTTGCTCTGCAAGCAGCTGAACTATATTTACACTGTATATGTATAGTGAGTACATTCACTCTTCTATACATAATCTTTGGTCCCACTAATGGCTCAGAAAAATCAAAGTAAAGCACCATCTATGATTTTACCATATCTTTGCATTATAATAGATAATTGATCCAGTGTTATATTCGTTGCCTTGAATATACTTTTTAAAAAAGCATTTAGGAAGTGCCAACGAGCATGACAAACTGTAGCAGCTTCCTTTGACAGGTCCAATTTAGGAATTGCAATCAGAAAACCTGCACTTTTATTCTGTCTCCTCTTCTGAGCTCTGGGAGTGCTGAAATCTCACTTTTCTCATTTGCAAAGAACAATCACGAATGTGTTGCCCTCTTTGATCTCAAGGTGATGTGATGTAATATTTATCGAAGAATCAAACGCACAACTTTCAGGCTTTTTTGCTGAATTGTATCCCTTTTGTTTTATTTTTGTGACAGAATTTTCTTTGAGAATGTTCTTCAACACCTGTTAAAAGCCGGCTTTCAGTACAAAGCATTCAGATGAAAAAGAAGGAGTCTGATTGTGATCCCCGATTTGTGACCTGCTCGTTCAGAAATTCCTAAGCAGATCTCAGCACCTCACCCTTGCCCCGCAACGGGCCCTGCACAAAGGGGCTGTCTGTGCTCAGGCCGGTAGGCACAGCGCTTCTGCAGTCTATTGCTCCCTTTCCTCTTGTTTCCTTGGGTCCCAGTACCTTCCCTCTTGCTCATCATTAAATCTTTTTCACTCCTCAGCCCTACCGGGCTCACAACATGATACCCATGACCTCGACAGCTCTTCCTCCTGGCCTTTCACACCCGTCACTCAGGCTTCCAGAACCTTGTCTCCAGTGCCCCTCTGGAAAAAAAAATCACCCTTTTCAGAGACTTCACTGGCTCTCCTTCTGGCAGAAGCTAATGGGCCCTTGTTCTTGTCTCCACAGAATACTGTCATTGATACAGTCTATCACAAGCTGCATCTCAGCTGTTAACTCCTCCAGCCTCCACCTCTTCATAGACCTCCCAGCTCATTCCTGAAGCTTCCTCCTTGGAACTGATTTTCTTAGCCATCTAAAGATAAGAGCGCTTCACTGTGAGGCTGAGATAAACTTGTAGAGGCCACCTGATGAGGTCTCCTATCTGGAGGAGAAATGAGCTCCATAGGAGATGTGTGTTTTCACCTCAGCATTTCCGCTACCTTGTACTTACAACCTAAAGTGACCGGTTCTCCCAAAAGTTCTTACCCTTTGGTGCAAACGTACCAGTTCTCTGCTGATGTGTCTTGAGCACTGTTTTTCCCCTCTGTTCGACTCTCGAGGACTTGTCTTTCTTTTTGTTGGGGGGAGTGTCATGAAAAATAGGTAATCTCAAAGTCTGAAAGACATCTAGTCCAACCACACACCTACTTTTTAAATACCATCACCACCAATGAGTCACACAGCCTGAAATGGAATCTGCTTCATCCCAGGGTAATCTGTCCCCCCGTGCACAGTTCTGCCTTGGAGAAGAGTTTAACCTGAATTCCCTGGAATCTGTCCTCCAGAGCCTTCTACTCCCTGCTTATACTCATCGCCCTCCGAATGTCACAGTCACATCTGTGGTCAGAACCAAGGTCACCGCTTTCCCAGCATCTAGCGCCTGCTCCTTCAACCTGCTGGGCCCACAAGGAACTTCTGCTGAACGAGCAAATAAATGTGTTTCCTCGCTTTGTGTCTAGGGCACCTGTTAAGTGTAGTCTGGGTCTTCTCCAGTCCATAGGTCCTTAGTTCCTTATTTCTCAGAAAGGAAGTTTCTATGTCAATACCTCGCTAGTTCCCTTCCTCTTATTTTCTGTAAAATATCTAAATTTATCTAACATAAAAGTACTATATCTGTATTTTATGTATCCAGTTGTATATAATCATATGTGTCCACAAAATTTAATCTACTTTTCTAAATAGTTACATCAAAGTCTAGAGAAACAATCTCAGTAATTTGTAAAAAATATATGTTGACTTTCTCCAAATCTACTAGCTAAATGTTTTTAGTATTTTTAAGGTAATGTTAATTTTTGGACAGAGCCATTGTTATATCATTAAACAATTTTAATAGAAAAATTTGAACCCTATATTTCCTTGCAACCAATTCAATTTTTTTGTATTTTCCCCATCTGGTCCAAATATAAAAATAATTTTGGGTTCTTTTAATTATATGTTTTATCTTTTGCACTTTACTATTCACTTAAATTATGTTGTACGTATATTTTGTGTTATCATTAGTGTTTATTATTGTAATTTCATTGGCTTAATAATACTCCATCAATGTCCGGTTATTGATAATTTAAAATGGTTCCAGTGTTCTCTCTCACAGAAAATGTGAGGAATGTTAACAAAGTCATCGGTGTTCTTCCTAAATGTCTTGTTATATTTTTAAATCTTCTCTGTGCTATACTATCATTCAAAAGAATTTTTCAGTTCTATGTGAAAGAGTTCTGTTTATTTGTACACTCTTTACCTCCAGCTTTACATCACTGCAGTATTAAACTGACTTTCAATTAAAACTATTCATTAACCCCCAAAACATAATTTTTATGAATGTCACATGTGAATTTTTAAAGAAGTGCTTAAAAATGACTAACATTTCTATAATCCCTTGAATATAATAGCCAGGTGATACCAAGCCCTATGTCGGCACTGGTGATTAAAAGTGACAAAGGCAGATCCTTGCCTGTATAGGGTTTAATGCCTAAGAATAAAGAAGTGAAAATAAACATAAACGGCATGACTGAGCAATTGGAGACAGTGCTGCTTAGATTTTCTGCCTAAGCAGAAATGGCCTTTGCCCTTGGCCCAGGAACCCTACTGTAGCCCCATCCCCTGAGCTATGACCCTCTGTACTAAATGCAGTCAGGGAAACATAATGTGGGCCTTCCGGGCTTGCCCACCCAGGCCCACAGCCTTCTCTAGACCCACCAAGGACAACAGGGACATGAGAATCACTGCTGAAACCCCTCCAACCGCCCTCACAGGCAGCACTGACTTCTCTAGATTCACCCTCCTAAAGCTGGGCCTTGTGGCTTATGCATCTACAAAGAGGTGACAGTGTGGAGGAAACTAGAAACAGAACTTTGTCACTTGCTGTCTGCACACATGGAAGAGAATCCATCCCATGAAGTTCCACATGCAGGCAGGAATGGGAAGGGAAGGCTGAGTGCCACAGACTGAGGATCCGAGGCTAGGGCTCCCTTTTCCTTGAAGTCAGGTTTTGCACAGAACTGAGGGTTCTGCAAATTCTAATTTGAATGTAGCTTTCCAGGTGGCTTTGAGGGTATATTTATCAAGGTAGGAGGAAGATGGAACATATTTTATTTAATAGTTTGTTAACTTGATTTACAGTTTTAAAATATTTAGACATATGGGATGTGGGCCTTCATTTGTATTCTTGCCCCCAGCCCTGAAAATATTAGGGTAGGCCTTGTGTGAGGTGCTAGGGGGACACCTAGCAAGGAAATCTAAACTTACCTAAGGGAGTCCTAGAACTCTTAAAGTAAGTCATGGTTCAACAGAATAAATTTAGCCATAGCTATTCTATTCATGGAATCTACCACCTTTATAAAGAAAGAAAAATCATATGTTTATCTTCACAAATGTCAAAAATATATTTG